TAACTGACTGAGCCAACCCAGCTCCCCTAATTTAAAAAAAATTTTAAACGTAATCTCTGTGCCCAACATGGGGCTCAAATTTACAACCTTGAGATCAAGAGTCACATGCTCTACCAACTGAGCTAGCCAAGTGCCCCTAAAGCTGATAATTTAATATCTTCAAATTCCTTTGAACATTTCTTGCTGGTAGAAGAACATTCTTCCTCCTCCTGCAAACCATGAATGACCTGGCCTTTATTCCATTAAAAACATGTTTTTAATAACTCCTAGGGCATGCATTTTTTTCTTCAAGACTTACCCTGACAACTCCTCATAGTCTCCAGGCCTACAGGGATATATAAGATGTGCTCTAAGAACAACAGCATGTATGCTGAAGGATTTGCAGGAACTTGAAACTCTATTGGGAGAATCTTGGGGACCAGTGAGGACAAATTTGTGGACATGGTGCCCTCACCCAAGAATTGTATTAGTTCAGCACCTGGGAGTGATATTAATAGTCTGTTGGGTTGGTTACTGGAAGTGTGGACTCAACAGTGGCCTTTGATCAATAAAGTCGAGATGTTAGAACCTCACTGACATAAAACTTTGATGTGCATGTGATTTACATGGGAGTCTTATTAAACAGTAGATTCTGATTAAGTAGGTTTGGGGTGAAACCCAAGATGCTGCATTTCTTTTTTATTTTATTTTTATTTTTGAGAGAGAGAGAGAGAGAGAGAGAGAGAGAGCACGCACAAGCAGGGGAGGGGTGGGGAGGGGGAACAGAGGATCTGGAGTGGGTTCCGAGCTGATAGCAGTGACCCCGATGCAGGACTCACACTCATGAACCATGAGGTCATGGCTTAAGCCAAGTTGGATGCTTAACTGACTGAGCCACCCAGGCACCCCCAAGATGCTGCATTTGTAACAAACTTCTAAGTGATGCTGATGCTACTGGTCCATAGACTATACTTTCAGGGGCAAAGTAGAGGAAGGACCGCAAAATTTGAGAGAGATGGGAATGTTGGAGTGCACTTGTTATGTACAACCACTAACTGTACACCTCTGAAGGGCTCCAAAAGATACTTCCTTCTCCAAGGCAATAAGAAAAGCTTAATGAAGGGAACAGTAACTTCTCTGAAAAGTACTATAGTGGCTTCTTTAGCAGGAAAGAGATGAGGATAGAAGATGCCTTCTTGGGACTGGAGAATCTTATTTCAAGGGGAATAATGGAATTCTTAAGTGGTAGAGGTCAGATGTGGGCACCTAACCATAAGCAATAAGGTAAATGAAATTACATATAAACTGTAAGGACAAGTTGGTAATTTATGTGCTTTGCCCACAGGGATCTGTGGTGCTAGCTAATTGATTATAGCATTTCTAGGGATGAAATAGATGGACAGCTTATTGATGTGCTACTTGACCTGTCTAAGTGGAAACATCTAAGTGGGCAAAAATTTGATCCAAATTGTACTGGGGATTTACAACCTTTTGCCTAGTTCCTCTACTTAAGTCAGTTTCCTAAACCAAAAGCCCTTTGATCGAGTGGGAGGTGGGAGGGCTTGAGTCTCTTTCACAGGTAGATTCTATACATCTTTCTCCTAGTTAGTGGTTCTCAAAGTGTGGTCCCTGGACCAACAGCATCTGCATCACCTGAGAACTTGCCAGAAATGCCAATTATTGGGCTCTGCCCCAACTTCATTGGATCAGCAAGTCTGCAAATGGTTCAGCAGTCTGTACTTTAACAAGCCTTTCTTGTAATTCTGATGTATGCTAAAATTTGAGAGTCACTGCTCTAAGCCTTCTCTATAGAGAGATCTGTAGCCATTTTGCTAGGGTGAGTCTGAATGTAGAATAGGACATACTCAGACCTTTGGGGCATTATTAGATACTGTCTCAAGTTAATGCTAGTCTTAGGGACCCAAAATCCTACTGTGGTCTGCCAGTTGGAGTGAAGGTTTATAGAGGTCAAGTTACAGGAGGATCTTAATACAGGTCTGTCTCACAGAGGGTCTCTAACACCTGTCCACATTATTTCCCTAGGTTTAGAATGTATAGTGGGAATAGGTATACTTAGTAATTATCCAAATGTCCACACTGATTCCTGTGTGAATAAGGAAAATTATAGTAGGAAAGACCAAGTGGAAGTCCTTTAAACTATACCTGCCCTATCACATTTCCCACTAAATAGTAAACTTAAAGTAATTTACATTCCTAGAGAAATTGCATAGATTAGAGCACCTTCAAAGACCTAAGAGATGCCATAATGCCTGGCACAGAATATTACAGCTAATAATCTAGCACATGCCTTTTTTTCTATACCAGTCAATTAAAGACCATTGAAATCAGCTTCTTTTCTTAAAATATTTTTAATGTTTATTTATTTTTGAGAGACAGAGAGAGACAGAGACAGAGAGAGAGAGAGAGAGAGAGAGAGAGAGAGTGGCGGAGGGGCAGAGAGAGAGGGAGACACAGAATCTGAAGCAGGCTCCAAGCTCCGAGCTGTCGGCACAGAGCCCACCATGGGGCTCAAACCCACAAACTGTGAGATCATGACCTGAGCAGAAGTTGGATGCTTAACCGACTGAGCCACCAGGCACCCTGAAATCAGTTTCTTTTCAATTGGAATGACAGGACTACACCATCACTGTCTTACCCCAGGGATGTATCAGCATTCCTGCTCTTTGTTGTAAGAGCAGGACATCCCATAGAATATCAACTGTCATAATCTTGACATCCCATAGAATATCAACTGACGACATTATGCTTACTGTCTCTGGTGCACAAGAAATAGCAGTCCCCTTAAATGCCTTAGTTAAGACCCATATGTGCCAGAGAGAGAGAAAGAAATCTTACAAAAATTCAGGATCCTGCCATACAGGTGAAGTTTCTCGGCTACTGTGGGTGGAGAGAAGCTGAAAAACGTGGTCTGTGGTGTGTTGTAACTTCACCATGAAGAAAGAGACACAATATTTAAAGGGAAGTTTAGATTTTGGAGGCAACATATGCTATATTTAGGTGTACTGCTGTAAAATATTTACTGGATATGACATAAAGCTGATGATTTTGAATGAAGCCCAGAGCAAGGAGGGCTCAGCAGCAGGTCCAGTCTCCAGGAAAGTTGCGCTGCTACTTGGGTGTTATGACTCATAAATCCAATGAACTTCAGATTTTCTGTGGCAGAAAAAGGGTGCTGTAGGAGCTCCAATAGGAGAATTACAGCAAAGACCCTTAGGGTGTTGGAGTAAGGCCACACCTCTTTTGCTAATGATTATTTTCTATTTGAAAAGCAGTTCCTGATTTGCCACTGGGCCTGGGTGAACACTCAGGCTCTAGTTCACTCGGTGACAATGTGGCCTAAGGGTGTTATCTATAGCAAATCATATAGTTGGATGTGCACAGCAGCATCATTCCATTGTTAAATGGCCATTGTACATATGAGATCAGGCCTTACAAATTTCAGAAGGCAAGAGTAAAAGCATGGGTAGGTGGCTCAGATTCCTACTTGTATTGTTTCTTCTTCTGATTACACTTATACCTTCAAGGAGAAGTTTTCTACAGTTAACAGAGGGAAAAAATGCATGGTCTTGATGTTTAGATGGGTCTCTAAGGTATGCTGGCATCCGTCAGAAGTAGACAGTTGCTTACATTCAGAGGTGGCCTTGAAAGACAGTGGTGAAGGGAATTCCTCTCAGCGTGCAGAATTTCAGGCAGTACTTTGAATGTCAACATTGTTGGGAAGTAGAGACAGCCTGAAGTTTGGAGGTATACTAATTCACATGCAGTGGCTGCCTACAATAACCCTGCCCTCACCTTTGTGAATGGTTCCTTCACTAAAATTTTTTTCCATTAAACCTTTCTGGGCATGCCATTTGTTTCCCGCCAAGATCCTGAATGATACAAGAGTATAGTGCAGAGGGAGCATACTAGGGTGCAATTAAATTTCATTACTGTCTGCCTGGAATGCCTGTTGAGAAAGACCTTGAGAATCAGCAGGAAAGAGTAAAATAAAAAAATAATAATAAACAAGGGATTTGTAACACATTCATTCAATAAATATTTATTGAGGGCCTCCTATGTTCCAGACACTGTTCTTGGCACTGGGATATGGCAGTAAACAAAACAGATGGATGTTTCTGCTCTTGCAGAGTTTTTATTCTAATGAAGGAGACAGGCAATAAGAAAACACGAAAAATGTATATACTTCAGAGGACAGTAAGTGCTATGAAGAAAAATAAAGAAGGCCAGAGGGATAGGGAGTATTGGGGAGTGTGGTCAGGGAAAACTTTGGTGACAACATTTGAACAGAAAGCTGATGTGAAGAAGGTGAGGGAGAGAGCCATTCAGAGATCTGGGGAAGATGTTCTAGGCAAAGAAAATAGCAAGTGTGAAGATTTTGAGGTGAGAGTATGTTTGAGGAATAGAAAGGAGGCCAATGTTATGGGAGGGAAGTGAGCAAAGAGTGGTGGGAGATATAGTCAGATATTAATATGGGCCAAATAATTAAGGCTTTGTAGGCCATTGTAGGGTTTATGTTTTATTTTGAGTGAGATGGGGAACGATTGGAGGGTTTTAAATGGAGGTGTGACATGATCTGATATGTTTTAAAGTCTCCTTCTGGCTGTCGGATCAAAGTAGTGCAAGAATGGAAGCAGGGAGACCAGGTCAGAGGCTATTGCAATAATTGAGGAGGACACAATGTTACTGGGAGTTGGTGGGAAGTGATTAGATTCTGGAAATTTTTTGAAGGTAAAGTCATGGGCTTTGGTGCGGGGTTCAGCATACAATGTGAGAGGAAAGAAGAGGCAAGAATACTGCAATATTTTTGGCTTGAGCAATGTGATGGATGGAGTTGCATTTACCAAGATGTGGATGACTACAGAGGAGTGGGTGTGTGGGAAGATCAGGGGCCTGGTTTGACTTGTTAGGATGAAGCAGCATTTTGGATATATAAGTGGAGATGTTAAGTAGGCAGCTGGTAATGTGAGTTTGAAGTTCAGGGGAGAAATTTTAGCTGAAAATACAAATTTGGGAGCATATGGATGGTATGTAAGGCCATAAGACATTGAGATCTCCAAGGGAGTGAGTGTAGGTAGAAGAGGTTCATGTTCCAAGTCCTGAAGCTCCCCAACATCGACAGGTCAGGGATATGAAGAGGAATCAGGGAAGGAGGGGTGCTGTCAGGGTGTTACGATGGTACCCACTTTCATGGCAAACAGGGAAAGGACACAGGGTCCGTGGGTGGAAGGCTTAAGCACCAACTCCCTAGCCCGTTGGTTTAGATGATCCAATGGGGGTGGAAGTGGGGGATTGGATGCCAAGCAGGTGGGTTTAAAACAGTTCCTGATCACATACACAGAACTCTAAGTGGGCTACATGCTTCACCTAGTTCACCCACTTCCCAGCCAGTGGGAGCCCTGGACAAATCTTACAGCTCAGGGCAGCTTTTTCCAGCCTATACCCACACTCCTCCAAGGAGCCCACACGGACTTCATGCTTCCTGGTTTGACCATATCCACACCTCAGGAATCACAGACCTTGGATAGTGGGTCATAGCTGTTGGGACAGGGAAGGGAGCAGCTGTGCCTGGGAAGTCAACCAAGTCCATGGTAGGGGAGTTAATGATTGTGGGGAGACGACCTCGACTAGATGCTTAGTGTTTGTTGAATGAATGAATGTGTGTATCCCAAGCTGTGTGCCTGGAGCTGTGCTTGACTGATGTGCTTGTCGTGTGTGTGTGTGTGTGTGTGTGTGTGTGTGTGTATGTATGTGTGTACCTGAGGTGCCCATCCTGTGTGTGGGCCTCCCCACGCCTACCTCGCGCAGTTAGTGGTGCATGTGGCTGTGTGTCTCCTCTCCCAGGCCTGCAGAGGGCGCCCCAGCCTGGGAAGGGAGGCTCTCGAGTGGGGCGGGGCTCTGGAGGAGAGGTGTAGGGAAGCTGTGGTTGGCTGGGGGTATTATAGCAGGGGCGGGGGCGGGGAGGCCCTGACCCAGGGGGCTCCTCAGAGAGTCCGGGAAGGGCGTTGGCCCAAAGTTCCTGGGCCGGCGCCGACTTCTGGTGCTCTCCTTGCTCCAGGCACCCGTGGGCTCCCGAAGCCGGAGGTCCCGGACAATGGGCCGGATACGTGGAGGGGAGACTTGGACTGTAAGTGGGACCACACCCCCGGGGGCCTGGGGCCAGCGTGGGCCTCAGATGCCCCCCCGGGTGGCCATTACCCCAGGTTTAGAACAACGGCCCTCCCCCCAAATCCCCGCCACTCAGGCCCCCGAACTCGTCTGTACACAGCTCGCTGGCAGAGACGCGTGGGCGGGCGAAGGCCTGTGTTTGTCTACAAATATTTATCTCCCTCACTCCCACTCCAACATACCCTGAGTCCAAGGCACTAACGTAGAAGACGAAATAATGTTTGCCTTAAAGGCTAAAGGAAGTTCACATCACCTCTGGCACTTCCTTCACAGAATAACCTGCACCCGATTGATTCCTTACACCGCATAATTACGGTGCTAACCCTAAAAAAGGGTTTCTTTGTTCAGTGAAGGTTTATTGAGAGCCTAACTGTGCCGGCGTGAGGCTCGGCGCCAGAGGATGAAGGCCTTTAACATGGATATGAGCGGAAAAGGAATTTATACTATTCGTCATTGGACACAGGAAAACGCCAGACCTCTGGCCTATCATGAGACACATTTGAGGACAAGTAATAAAAAAAAAATCTTTCTGGTCCCAGAAAGATAAAGGAAATGAAAACAAAATTCAACCCACAAACCTGCTGTTTGCGTGTAGCCGACCGAGGACCGCGGTGACGATGCTGCCTCCTGGTGGCGGAACGGGGCAACGCAGTTGTCACAGTCAAGTGGAGTTTCACAGGGTGGGAGTGGTGGTGGCAGTGACGGCGTGGATTCTGAACCGAAATTGGCTCTGGCTGCCCAGGTGGTCAATAGTGGAGTTTCGTTCTCTTAATATTAGATTGAAATTTATTATGACCACAGTTCCATAGCTCTAAAGCGAAAGTCTTCAAGAACATGGCATCAGAGTTTCCCTGGGGTGTTTTGGTTTGTCACCACCGAGAAAGGGATGTCCTGAAGAAAACAAAGTCTTCAGCTTCTTTTCATAGCTAATACATTCTCTGCAGGTGGAACTGTAAACACCAATAGAAGAATTAAAAATATAGGTGTTAGAAAAAGACGCTTGGCAACTTAAGCATTTATGAAAATGGTAACTCATTGGTCAAGACTGATGCCAAAGGATAGAAGCATTGATGAATTTCATAAAACAACACAGCATCATTTTGACCCAAAATACAAGGAAAAATAGCACCTGGATGTGGGAAAGAGAAAGAACTTCACAAAAGAGGCCAGTGAAGCTGAAGGCGTTTTCACAGGTAAATGCTTAAAGCCAGGAAACAAATTAATTTTGAGTTTCATAAATAGTAAGTGTGGGCCCAGTCCCTCTGACCTTCCTGTGCCCTAATGCAAGGTACAGATGCCAAGTGTGTTAGTGGTGCTGTGCTGGTAGCTCTATATTGTTCCATTTTTAATTTTTGAAAGGAATATATCAAAAGAAAGGCTCTGTCATTGGTGATCATGACCCTCTAAAGGCTTGGGTTGATGAGGAAAGAATGAAATAGTGGCTAGCCAGAGTATGGCCCAAGTATTGTGGGAGGTGTGGTTGAGAAATCTGATTGCTTAGTTTGGAATTAGTTTCAGGTTCATATTACTGAGCTTAAGATGTTTTTAGGAGGTCTCACTAGCTCTGGACAGGGTTAAGGATATGGGATACAAACCCTTTACATTTGAATTTTTTTTTAATGTTTATTTATTTTTGAGACAGAGAGAGAGCATGAACAGGGGAAGGTCAGAGAGAGGGAGACACAGAATCTGAAACAGGCTCCAGGCTCTGAGTGGTCAGCACAGAGCCCAACGCGGGGCTCGAACTCACTGACCGCGAGATCATGACCTGAGCTGAAGTCAGCCGCTCAACCGACTGAACCACCCAGGCGCCCCAAAACCCCTTAACATTTGTATCAAAGTGGTCCTTAAAGAAAGGAGGGCCAGGGGAAATGGGAGGCTTCTAATTCCCAGGCAACTCTGACAAGAAGGAGCTGGCCCATCATTTCATAAGTGTGTGTGTTATTTCATGGGAGAGATAGTGACAAGATCATTTAAAAACATGGTATTAGTAATTTTCTGAATGGTCCTGAGGATGACTTATTGTTAGCGGAAAGTTTTAAAGCAATAGACCCATTTAAAAAATATATATATATTTTTAACGTTTATTCACTTTTTGAGAGAGACAGAGTGTGAGCAGGGCAGGGGCAGAGAAAGAGGGAGACACATAATCCAAAGCAGGCTCCAGGCTCTGAGCTGTCAGCACAGAGCCCGATGTAGGGCTTGAACTCCTGAACTGGGAGATCATGACCTGAGCTGAAGTTGGACACTTAACTGACTGAGCCTCCCAGGTGCCCCGCAATAGACCCAGTTTTAAAGCAATGAAATGTTTTAGTGCTTTAGTGTTAAAGGAAAACTCTGGATTCCAGGGATTACAGTGGCTTTTCATGATTGAGGGGATGATGATTTTGTAAATTTGGGGGATGTTTGCTCTTTAGAATTTTTTTTCTTCTTTTACATTCCTAGTAGAAGCCATTGTCTCCCTATTGAACACAGGTACTACTATTCAGTAAAATATTTATTTTTACATATGCATGAGCAAGGCATTGGAAGTCCTTCAAATTTATAATTTTATTGTATGCTTTGTACTTGTTTTTATGGAAATATTTCCTTGTCTAAGCAGCAGTCTTTTGGAAATTTACCTTCATCTCCTCTCCCATTTCTGTCCTTTACACACATACACACACCAAAAACATTTACTGTAGTTTTAGTTGGGGCTCAGGAAGAAGTACAAATAAATGCATGTGTTTAATTTGCCATCTTTACCCTGAACTCCTACTAGTCTTTGAATTTAATGCTGTTGATCTTTTCCTTTATGGTTTGTGTTTTATGGTTTTAATCTTTTTGTCTTGGTTTGGTTTTGGTTTTACATCTTAAGCTCTTTCTATCTCAAGGTTATAAACACACGTATCTATAGTTTCCTCTATTACATATGTTTTAAACATTGGGTCTTTCATTCATCTCATATGATGAAACATTGAAAAGTATTGAGTTTATGATAGTGACAAGATAGAGGTGTTTTAAAAATGGAAGAGAAATTAGAACTTAGAAAAAACCCCAAAAGGCAAGTGGCAAAGGAAAAGTAAGCCAAGTACACTACTGTGCTATGCAGTGAACAATTACATGGTGATAATAATGTAAACTCTGATCATGACCTAAATATAGTGGTATGACTATATTTAGAGGACAGGGTGACAAAAGAGGAGGGTTGGTAAGAGTTAATTCCCCATTTTTTATAATAGGAAGCCAATTGGCAACGTTTAAATAGATAAACCGAGAAACAGAAGTGTGAACAAAGTATTTAGATGTATGGCACTAACTCCTAGAAGAAGTAGCTTAAGAGTTAAAATTTGCAGGAAGTGGGGCACCTGGGTGGCTCATTCCGTTGAGCATCTGACTTCAGCTCAGGTCATGATCTTGTGGTTCAAGAGTTTGAGCCCTGCATTGGGCCCACTGCTATCAGCTCAGAGCCTGCTTTGAATCCTCTGTCCACCCCCACCTCTCTGCCCTGCCTCTGCTCATTCTCTCTTTCTCTCTCTCTCTCTCAGAAATGAATAAAAACATTTAAAAATTTTGTAGGAAATGGTTTTCAAAAGTTTTTTGATATTTTGAAAAGCCATGACTATTACTTAATTTTTTTTTTAAATTATGCATCTTAAGAAAAAAGAAAGAACAAGATAACGTCAAAGATGAAGGCAGATAAGGAGAGTGGCCACTCGTTTTCTGATGGAATAAGGAATATATTGCATGCCTGCTCAGGGCAGGGTTTGAGGCACAGATGAGGCATAGATAATTAGCAGGATAATTTAGCGAAATATGAAGTTCTCCTTATGTGTTTCCTTTCACTCCGGAGCAACCTCGAGTTTTGGCATGGCTAAGAATAGAGGCATCCTGATGTCAAAGCCCTTCTGCTTTTGTAAAAGTCGGAAGCACACCTGGGAAGAGGTTATGCCCCGGAGGGACTGGGAAGAGGAAGGATTTTGAAGAAAGGTCTTTCTGACTGGGAGGGAATTGGTGTGCACGTCCAGCAATGGGCTGTAATCCCTGGCTGTGTTGAAGCAAGTGTCAGCATCTGAGTGAATGGCTCTGTGGGGGTGTCATGGGAAGCCAGGTTCAAGCCCAGAGGCTTTTATAGCTGAATTCCCGTGTCTCTAATGTGGCACAGAGCTAAGAGTTTGAGAAGCCAGCACCTGAAGAGTCATACCTGCTAGTACCACAAGGGCCTTAGCATTTACTGGTAAGACTGATGTCCAGTGATGGGATGGTGTGGGGAGCAGATAGGAAGCCTCTTCTGTGCCTTGATGTTTCTATGACCTTTGCACAGCCCTTGGCAAGTGGGATCTCCAAGTCTGGAGATGATGTTGAATTCCTCATTAGCACTCCAGTGCAGGGGCTTGGAGTAGGATTAAGTTCATTGAAAGAACATTTTAAAATGCAATAACTCTTGTGGCACCTGGGTGGCTCAGTTGGTTGAGTGTCCGACTTCAGCTCAGGTCATGATCTCATGATTTGTGGGTTCGAGCCCCACACTGCGGTTCTGACTACGCAGAGCCTGCTTCGGATCCTCTGTCTCCATCTCTCTCTGCCCCTCCCCTGGTCATGTTCTCTCAAAAATTATTAAAACACACACACACACACACACACACACACACACACACACACACACAAATGCAGTAATTCTTGCATATCTGAATTTTCAGACTAAGATCACACCTGCTGCACGAGGATAGGTAGGAAAAGCCCCCATCTTCGCCCGTTGCAGGAGGACCAGACAGCACTTACTTTAATGACTTTATGATAAGTAGTAAATGATGTGGTGTGCTCAGGCTCCCACGGAAGGAAAAGGTGGTGGGGCAGTCACCTCTAGCTTCTCGCCCCTCACCCAGGATCTATTCCCTTCTTTCCCACATGGCCTGGCTCCCCAATGGTTTTCCCTCTCCCTATATATGGGGATAAAAGAGGCAATGAGGGGATCTCTGCTCTGGGGAGGAAGAGGTAGAGAAGAGCCAGGCCAGAGTCTTCTTAGAGAGGACACTGATTTGCATGTGAATTCTGGGGTTCTAAATACCTGCCACAGGAGACTTAGTCCTTGGTCTCAGAGGTTAAAGGGGCTAAAGTACCCTAGGGAAGAAAGGGAAGGAGAGAAGGCTTTCCCACCTGGGAGGGAGCTTAGGGAGTCAAGAAGCCCAGATAGGAATAGAGAAGCACACAGCTCCATTAAACAAAGAGAGACCCAGCTTCACTGATGAGGGCAGGAGTGTGTGGGTATTTGGGAAGGGATGGGGGCTCTGAAAGGGGCCCTAGGGCCGGAACTGTGCATAGGGTAGGTTTTAGTAGAACTTGTGTTTGCCTGTGTTACAGGCAGGCCCAGGTTCCATTCTCCCTTCTGGGGACCCTCCCAAAGAAGTCCTTGGACCTTAGTATTCAGAGGATCCCAGGGAAAGTGGTGGCAGTCCCAGGCAGAGCTAGGAAAAGATCTGGAGGTCACTCCTGAAGTGATAGCATGCTGGACATAACCAGGGAAGGGCCCTCTTCAGGGTCTCAGAGGCCTGCAGAGCTTTTGGCGATGTGTGCTCTTGGTCCACCATCTCTCACTGACAGGGATTTCTCAGAGACCGGGAGCAGCCCAGATCCCTCTATTGCCAGGGTAACTGGGAGGCAAGAAAACTCTTGGGATAGGTGAGAAAATAGAATTTTGCAGGTCAAGTTCTTGGCTGGGACCAGAGTGTGTGACCCCACCCTGTAGTGACACTGGCTTCCCCATTGACGCAAACACACAGGAACAGATACTTGGGTGGGAGGCTGGAACAGGTTTTTATTGTTAGGTATAAATTGTATTTACAAGAAAGCAGTAGGGTGCAGTGGGAGTAGGGTCAGGACCAGTATCCTGGGTGACCTTTTCTCAGAGGGGACAGTCCTGCTGCCTCCTCTCACACTTCCTGGGAGACTCTCCCTCCTCTGCCTTTCTGGGTCTGGCCTGGTGTGGGCGACGTAGCCATGCAGGGTAGGGCTGGGCATACAGATGGGATGGTTGAAGCAGGAGAAGGGGTGAGGCAAGGCCAGCATGAGGTGGCTGCTCTGCGGCCCCTGAGTCTACCCCCTCTCCTAGCCCACTTCTTGCTCCTTGGATTGGGGCTCCAAGCCCCAGTGAGGCTGGTGGGGGCCTCCTGGGCTCCAGGCTGGTCACTGGGCTAAGACCCTTTTGGGGTCTGTG